CTCCGCCTCCGTCTCCGCCTCCGCCTCCGCCTCCGGATCTGACGAAAACGAACTCTCCGGCGAAAAACTCCGACTCGACTATCCAAGCGACGATCTCTTCTTCAGAGGCCACTCATCGCTTCTCTTCACTCCGAGCACGAAACCTCTTCTCCCTTCGTCGATCCTCAAACCCGCCGCCAGGTTTCGAGTCTTCATGCTCCGGTTCAAGAAATCGAAGTCGCTTCATCTCGATTCCCCTCAATCCTCACCAAACCACAATAAAAAGTTCCCAGTGAAATTTAAGCTGGATGAAGTCCCCATCGTCTCTCTCTTCACTAAAGAAAACAGCTCTTCTAGAAGCTCAACCCGATCCTCTAAGCTCTACGCTGAAGAATCGATTCAGTCGCCGGCGCCGACCTCCGATGAGAAAAAGAACCCGAAGGATGTGATCCACAGGTACCTCAACAAGATCAAACCGCTGTACGATCGCGCGTCGAAGCGGAACAGCGCTAAGCCTCGGTTCTCCGGTGATCCGCCGAAGAGCGCGCATTCTTCGGGCTTGAGGATCGTTTCGAGGAGGCTGAGGAAGAGTAGATCGGCGTCGGCGTCGGTGGCCGCGGTCAGGTCACCTCCGAGGCGGCGGGAGGAGTCGGTGATTGTGGAGGAGGATGGGATCCAGAGCGCCATCGCTCACTGCAAGCGCTCCTTCAGTTCGGGTAACGTCACCGGATTCGGATCAGATTACCCCGTCGCTGTAGTTAATTAGAAATTAATTATTTCTTTATGATATTAATGAACGTGTTTTGTTTTTGTGCAGGTTGTGATTTGGGTCTGGTGCGGTCGAGGAGCGATCCCGGCACCGAGCGATGTGATTAATCGAGGAGAAACTACGTAGAAGCGGGAAAAGCTGTTCTTTTTTTTTTCTTCTTCTTTTGATCACGAGACCTGTAATTAAACCCATCATTTCGCAAATATTATATTCTGTTATCTCTCAATTCTCAATATTCTTAATCTCGATTAAAGATGTAGAGGACTAATCAAAGATAAGACAAGGGTTCAGACGCCTCGGAGACGCTGCTGTCTTTTGATTATTTTAATTGAAACGCGGTCATGATTTCATAAACAGGGGTGACATCTGCTTTCTTCGGCCACCGAGCACTAAATCCGCTAGCTTTTCTAGGGAGAAAGCAGAGACAAAGACCAGAGCAGTAAAAGCTTTGACGGAGAAAAGAGGGGGAGCTCTTCCCTTTTCTTTTCCCTCTTTTTTCTCTCATCTTTTTGCCCTTTTCTTAATTTTTACATTTTTGTAACCCTTCCTTCTCCGAGTGTAGTTAGACGGTAGGCGATGCGGTTTGTCTGCTGCTGGTTTTGGATCTCTGGATTTTTGTACGCAGACGCAAAGCAATGCGTTTTCCGTAAATAAAAGGTGGTTTTAACGTGGGTTGAATTGCAAAAAAGTATCATAAAAGTTTTCATTTTGATAATTAAATACGACAAGTTACATCATTTTAATACAAAATAAAACTCCATAAAGTTTTTAAAAATCTATATGTTACCATCACCAGTCATGCAAATCGATAAATTTTCATGATCGATGGTAGCAATGTACAAATTTTATAAACTTTGTGGTATTTTATTGTACCAAAATGTAACTTACCGGAATGAATTGTCAAAATGGAAAAACTTTATGATATTGTTATGCAATTTAGCGTTTAAATTGAGTATAGACGTTGTAATTTAAATTTTTTTTGATTATGGTGGGTTGTTGTGTTGATGATTGAGATGATGATGTCTGTTCGGGGGGATTGTAATAGAGAAGTGAGTTAAAACTTTTGAGTAGGTTCTCTTGTGGGATTGGATTT